GAACTCACAAACCGCGAGTTCATGACCTGAGCCAAAGTTGGAAGCTTAACCCACTGAGCCACCCAGGTGCCCCTACAGGAAGTCTCTTTTAATTGCCGTTTTTAAAACGCACAAAAGCTAGTAAAGTAGTCCTGGTGAAATACTTCTAAGTCCTGATCAGAGAGGACACCAAAATGACCCTGGAAACATGTTTTTGGGTCCTACCATGGAACTGATGAGCAGGAGAACAATATTGGAGTTGTGGAACATGTGAGTGACATGATTTCTCTCCTCCTCCAGCCAAGACTCTTTTTCCTCTGTTTTTTCACTGTGTATGTGAAGGACTATTACAGAATCCTCACACTCAGTTTAATTTTCTTCACCAGTACTTTTTGAGTAGGTATGAATAAGAACAATGTTTTACAAAGAGGGGAGTTTCAAGATAGAGGGATGGAGACCAAAGGCAAAATAATTCAACTGTGACAGTAAACTAATGTGATCTTAAAATGGTTCCCAGTTAGAGATACAGGCTTCCATTTATGGAATAAATTAAGTCACAGGGATGACAAATACAACAAAGGGAAATCATGGTATTATAATAGCATTGTATGGAACACATGGTGGCTACACTTATGAGCATAGCATAATGTACAGACTTGTCTAATAGCTATGTTATACACCTGAAACTACTATAACATTGTGTGTCAGCTATATACTTAAGTTTAAAAAAAGAAAAAAAAAGGAACTGAGGCCAACCAATCACAAAAAGTCAGACCTTTCCAAATAAGATAAATTCTTAAGGTATAGCCAATCAAATAATTTCCTTGCTTTGCTTCCACTAATTCTCTGTAGAAATCTTTTAACTACCTCCTACGGGTGGGGCAAAGCACTGTAACCACTTCTGGGTTGGTACTGCCCAATTTGAATTGATTTTTGTTCAAATAAACTCTTATAATAAAAAAAAAAATGGGGGTGCGGTGGGGGTTGCTGCCTGGGTAGCTCAGTCCATTAAGCGTCCAACTTCAGCTCAGGTCATGATCTCGCAGTTCATGAGTTCCAGCCTGGCATCGGGCTCTGTGCTGAGAGCTCAGAGCCTGGAGCCTGCTTTGGATTCTGTGTCTTCCACTCTCTCTCTGCCCCTCCTCCATTCACACTTTTCTCTCTCTCCCTCTCTCTCTCTCTCTCCAAAATAAATAAGCGTTTAAAGATAAAAAATAAAAATGTTCTCAGACAATGCCAGCTAACAAGCATATTTATTTATTGAGAAATTATTTGTAATAAATAATAACTGATTAAAATAAATGGATCAAAACAATTAACCTTAATGAAAATTATAGGATATTTATTATTTATTGAGAAATTATTACATGGCAGGCTTCCACCAGGTGATATCGATGATGTATGAAAGAAGACACAATTTCTGCCTTCAAAGAGTGTTCTGTCTAGATTATACAGACCTCCATAAGCAACTGTTTTCAATTTTTTTTAATTTTTTTATTTAAAAAAATTTTAAATGTTAGAGAGAGAGAGAGAGAGAGTGCACAAGCATGAGGAGGGCAGAGGGAGGGAGACAGAGGGTCTGAAGCAGGCTCCACACTGACAGCAGAGAGCCCGATGTGGGGTCCTAACTCACAGAAGTAGGAGATCATAACCTGTGCCGA